ATGTATTGGGACTGGCTTTGGCAGAATCTCTTCGTGGCGCGTGGCGGCGTATGAATAGATGTACTTGAAGCGGGTCCTTTGTTTTGGAGGGGCCCCGGTCGCTCAAATGGGCCTGGAAGATCCCACCGGATGAGCACCTCGCGGAAGGAGGCTGGCTCGCTCGGCGAGAGGCGCCGATCACTCGGCTAGCTCGCTTCTCGCGAGCTCTCCCCCCGACACTATGGGATGGGATTGGGACTCCGACGGTCACCCTTCAAGCCGAGGGAGGGGGCCGGGTAACGAAGCTATAGCCACCCTCTCACCCTCTCTCTCTCTTTCTCTCTCGCAGAAAGATCCTCTTCTCACTTTGTTTTTTGGGGGGTATAACATTAAAAAAAACCAAACTAGATAGAGAGGCGTGTTTTGGTTGTTGTAGTTACTTCTTTAGCGCGAACAGAGGAGATCTATATTTCAGGTACAAATTTAGGGCTAGGGGGCAGAACATTCAAGAGCTCCCTCCCAAGTAAAATGAGCGTGTATGTATGTGTGTGTGTGTGGTGTTGGTTCATGCGCCGAACCGGTCCATTCGTCGTTTCACTAACACCCATAAGCCGAGGAAGTATTGCTACACACATCACCAATTGGAATAAGTGTCTGTTTATTTTATTTTTTTGGAAGAAGAGATAGAACAAAGCGCTTCACAAAAAAAAAAGGAAAAGGAAAAAAGACGTACATCTGCGATGTCGGTGGGCGAGGTGATCTCTAAGGTGACGATCTTCTTGATGTTGCCCAAGTTGTCTTTAGCCCAATGAGATTTGTCGACCGATTTGACGACTTGAAGGTGAGATTTTTCAGATGACAATCCCAAATATATAGAGAGAATCAACATGCCAACGTGAGAGGGCCTACATATAGATAGAAGCACCAAAAAAAAAAAGAAAGACTGACAATTGAAGGAGGCGACTTTAGTCTGATTGTGTCCCTCGAAATAGACGTTCCCAGTGTTGTCGGTGCGGCCGCGGAAGTACTTCAACGTTTGGGGCTGTTTTCCCTCCATGACCATGTACCAATGGTCGGTGAGTGCCATCCTTGGGTCGACGGTGTAATGGACGCCCGAGGGGGTGTCGTATGTGGCCGCGCGACCGAAGGCGGTTTTCTGTTGATGCGAAAAAAAAAAAAAAAAATGTCAACAAGAAATGAGAGTCCCGCGGACGGTGGGGAAATGGCTTACTTTGAGCCTGACGCTGAGGAGTTGATCGCCATGCATATTGGAGACAATGGTGGTGCGATGGTCTTGCGGGGATTGACTGATGGTGTACGCGGGCTCGCCTGTCTGGAGGTTGACGACGACGACGTTGCCTCTGTCGATATGGAGCTTGCGGTCCCAGGCGAAGAGTCTTGGCGGGGCGGGCGGCGCGGGCAGGACGGCGGCCATCGGGTGATTCGGACTCGGAGTAAGAGAGACCTGGGGCCCATGGCCTTTCTCGAACGGGTTACCGGCTGAGGCCGGCGCGACGGTGTTGTCGGGCCCTGGGTTGGGATGACTGGATACGCGCCCAAGCTGGTGGACAGTAAAGAGTGACAGGAGCACAACGAATGGGCTGCCGATGAATAACATGATCTAATCTGATCTGAAAGTAATGAAGATATAAACAAGGGTGTAAAAGATTGAGAAAATCTGGGATGGCGTTGGGGAGTCTCCAAAAGAATGATGAGAGCTCTACAATGACCAGTCTGGGGGTGTTTATATCCTCTGATATGGACAGTTGTTTTTTTTTTGTTCGGTGGAGGGAAGGCTTTGCTCTGTATGGACAAGATGCATGGCGGGATGGGTGGCCGATGAAGCACGCCTTTTAAAGTGTGTGTGTGTGTGTGTGTAGGGGGGATGCAGCCGGCTTGAAGAGAGAGAGAGAGAAGCCGATGGGCAAAGCCAGTACAGCTGGGAGGGGAGTGTGCAGTTGGTCATGTCTGTCTGTTGTTTCGAAGCCCTCAGAACATCCTCCTCCTTTCATTCCATCCCCTTGCAATTACTTTCAAAACTTACAGCGCCCAGTGACGAAGTGAGATGGATCCATCCACACTTGCATTGTTGTACTACAACACGAGCAGCGGTACAATACATCGACCATCTCCCGGCGCCAGTCGAAGATGTCTCAGGTGCTCTTTCAGCCTCGGTTTGGTCAGCTGCAGCTTCCCCCATATCGTCAAGACTCCCCGTTTCACATCCTTGCGATTTATGTAACAGTGATCGCTTGCAGAAAGCGTTCGAAGACGCCAGACCGAGAGTCCGCCGCGTCCTTCGATTACAAGAGACCGCATCTGTTTGCGATCCCAAGTGCGGTTTCCCCCGTTGGCTGAGAGATCTATGCTCTCTTCCTGTTGGTCGCCATACTGACGTCTCAGGCGTTTGTGACTATGGTTTTGATCAGGAGCTTGGGATGAAACATGGCTTCAAGCACTCGTCGGCCTTTGCTGAACTGTTCTCTTGGGGATAGCACAACAGCCTCCTCATGGGCAGAAATCCAGGAATGTAACGATGTCCGGCGGGATGTAAATATGTAACGTTAACCTGCAAGGGCTGCTCTCTAGGAAATCCAATCAACATGACCCTCCAAAAATCGGGGGGGGGTTTTATAATGAGGTACCAAAAGAAAGCCCAATTTGTCAACGATGAGTTGAAAGAATCGACAGGCACTATGTCGCTCTCAAGAAGAGATTCTCCATCTCATGAACCGCACAAAAGCCCCAGTTGATGAGTCTGAGAAACACGACATTTCAGAGAGTTTTTTCCTCCCAATAACGTTTGTGCAGCATAACAGCAAATGGGTATTGGTGGTGGGATTGGGCGGACTCTATGGATACACCGGACCCTCCGATCGAGAGAGGCTTAGTCAAGCTAGAGATCATTGCAGTCTCAGAGCTCTAGCTGCTACACTATTATAAACCCCCCTCCCCTTTTTTTTTTGAAAAGACAGAAACAAGCCTTCATGGGCATTCTTGGACCTGACGGCGTTTGGTAGAATTGGATGAGCAAGGACTGATGAGATTGCCTCAACGATATATTATTTGATTTTTTTGATCATCTACTAGTGATCGGAAGCCGGATGACTAATACATTGCACTATGGTATCTCAAGATCGATCTGTAACTCGGTTCGGGTTTTCGTTTAAGCTCGAGTGGCTCTCGTTCGAAGGTTTGCTCGGTTCACGTACGCTAGTCGATGTTGTTCTGCTTTGAGTTTAAGGACTTCTGAGTTCTAAAGAAGAAAGAGGTAGTCTCAGAGTGATGATAATAAGAAGAGGAGGCAAAGGAGGGGAAGAGTTACTCCATTGAGGACGGCGATGACTTCCATGGCCAAACGGTCGCCGAACTTTTTGCCCGGTCTACGTTCGGAGTGTTTGACGATCCAAAGGATAGCCTTCCTAGCGCTCTGAGTTTCGTTAAGGGGGACGGGTACGGTGGTGACCTTGATGCGTTTCTGTTCGTTGCGGGTGACGACGATGGGAGCGGCGAGTTGGACGGCCTTGACGAGCAAGGGGAACGGCTCCTGGCCGGTGACCAGACGCAGTTGGCCCAGCAGGGTGACCACATGTTTCTGGGCGATCGTCCGTTTGCCCTGGCGCATCAACAGGCCGATCATGTACTCTAACAGCGGCTCCTCTAATGGCGCTACACTGATCCCAGGCTCCCGGTACGCTTGTTGGCCCGCTATGTCGCCCGGCTCCGGGAACGGAGGCGGCGGCTCGTAGACCGGCAATCGTCGTGCTCGTGGATGTCGGTCTTGGTCCACTGAACTCGCTCCAAATCTCACTGAAAAAAACAAGCAATTAGATCAGTGTTCATTAATCTGGGGTTTTTGGGCAAGACTACATGTGTTTGAGACGTACCATCTCGAGTTGAGCTGAATGTCCGATGGTTAGAGTTGTGGGTGAAAGATGACGATGGAGACGATGAAGACGATGATGATGATGATGAAGGATGGGGGGAGTAGCCAGCGAGTGTTTGCAATGAGCTCGGGAGTGTCTGTCTTGTTTTCGATCGAATCAAACTGGTTATCATCATCTTCATGATCTTCTTGTTGTTGTTGTTCAAGTGGTTGAAGTTTTTTTTCGGTCAACGATCACACTCCCGGGTGGGCCCGTCGCCGAAAGAAAGGGGAGAGGATGTACCCGATCGGGAATTTACCCCGGGGGACACCTTACCCCGCCAAGCTGATGGCTCGGAATCCGGAGTGATCGGTCGGTCGGATTCACGCGCCAAGCTGGCTCGGGCCATTTCTTCGGAGTCGGGCGAGTATGGGCTTACAGGGCCAGGCCGATAGTAGGTTATGGCTTTACGAGGGCTGACAAGGATCCTACATATATATATCCACTTCACTCTTCTCCCCTCTCCCCTTCCTTCCTTCCAACCTCAACTACATAAAACCAACTACAACATCAAGAAGAAAAAACCATCACATTCAAACAAACAAACAAACAAAAACTAACAAACAAACGAACGAACGACGATGTCTGGAATCGGTAATATGGGCAAGCATGCACTCAGAGTAGCAAAGAACTAGTACGTCTTTCCCTTCTTCACCTATCCTCTTGTCTTGAATTGCTGTTCTGATGGGTTGATTGGTTCTATCAGCACAAAGGGCTACTCTGATACTCAAACAAAAGTCAGAACAGCCACCTCTAATGACCCCTGGGGCCCATCTGGCACTCAGGTCAATACTACCACTTCACTTCTTCTTTCTCTTTCAGCCAATTCATAAGCATCTTGAAAATACAGCTCACATCCAAGCACATCTATCTATCTAGATGAATGAAATCGCCACATTGACTTTCAATCAACAAGACTTCATCGAGATCATGGAAATGTTGGATAAACGATTGAACGATAAAGGCAAGAATTGGAGACATGTCTTCAAAGCTCTCACCTTACTTGATTACCTTCTCCACGGCGGAAGCGAGAACGTCGTACTCTATTTCCGGTTAGCAGCTCTTCCCCCTGCTTAATTCTTGATTCTTAAGTCTCGAGTTTTCAAGGAGGAACTCATTCTTAGTCTCATTACTATTTAGTGAAAACGTGTACATCATCAAAACACTCAAAGAATTTCAATATATTGACGAATATGGGAAGGATCAAGGCGCCAATGGCAAGTCAGTTTCTATATACATAACAAAAAACTATGAAAAAAAAGATCAATTCTAATCAATCTGACAAGAAATATATCGACTTGATATAATGATGGGATCTAACAGTCCGACAGAAGGCTAAGGATATCTCAAATCTTCTGTCCGATGAATCTCGTCTACGAGAAGAAAGAAGGACAAGAGCTCACATGCGAGATCGAATGGTCGGCCGCCGAAATAGCTATGACGATGATAACGATATGCCTCGTCGAGCGAGGAGTGTACCACCCACTCGTCATCCAAATAACATGTAAGATGTTTGATTCTCAAGTTCATCAACATCTCCTAACAGATCGTGTCTGTTTCTTTAATGACATCCAGGGAAGACTCCGAACTTCAACGTGCCCTCGAACTTTCTAAATTAACTGCGGCTCAGGAGGCCGAACGAAATAAGAAGGTACCTACGGACCCGGAACTAGAGGAGGCGATGCGTCTGAGTCGAGAGGAGGAAGCCAGGAGACTCCAGAACCAGCCCGATCCGAATGCCCTGGCCTTATTCGATGATGGTCACGAATTGTAAGAGGATCTGTGATTGAGATAGTATTCAATCTTGCTAATATTTGTCATTACCCCTATCATTCAAACAAAATTTGAAAAAAAACAGACATAACAATAACGCCAACCAGATCGACTTGATCGACACCTCAATTCCTATCCAACAAACTGGCTATCAACCTCAATTTGCTTCCTTCAACCCATATGCCCAACAACAAGAAGAATACATGCGACAACAACAACAGGTCAGTGATCTAACTACTGAGAGAAACAGTTCAAAGAATGAATGAAGATTGCGATCCGAGTCGGTGACTGACAAATAAGGGAG